CACCAAATGACCCGAAGAGTGACTTCAGCATAGGAGGGTAAAAGACAGAGGTTATACAGATTTTACAAAGCTCTTAATATCTCTGAATAAGCTCTGTATGTGTTACCCTTGATACCATTGAAACTTTTATACTTGAAATAAAGAAATCCTAGTTTCCTGATAAGTGGAGATAGAATGAAATGTAGCAGTACAATACTTCAGCTGGGGTTTGATGAGTGCACAGTATAAAGTGTAGAGAAGTGGTGAGCATATCACGTCAATGTTTTCTAGTTGCATCTCCATAGACCGCTTGCACCCGCTAAGTCACGTGACCTATAGTGGGTATTAAATATCAACAAACACGACGTCCACCAAAAGCAAAGTGTTCCGTAAGTATCCGTTACCAAAAATAACACGGACGGTAGGTACCGTACTCAGGCTACGGATGTACTGGGTACTAAACCGTAACCTGGCTGTATAGTTTGTAAACTCTCAAATCACATGTTGTTATAGGGTTGATACCCACTATAGGTCACATGATTTAGCAGGCGCAATCAGTCTATTTTTTCTGTTCCCAGATACCGGTGTTTCATCCTACAGCAGTCGGTACACATCTTCAGTGGCCTCACTGCCGTCACGTGGCCAGTATGTGCAAGACGTGGCGCCGGTCAGCTCGTCCGTGGGTAAGTGGGCAGAGGTCCATAGTTTCTGTGTTCAGGGAGTAGGGCAGTTAGTATGCACTCAGCGGGGTGGGGAAAAATGTTGAGGTTGAATCTTTCCCACCCAATTTGTGTCACAGACAGATCTTAGCCTGGAAGAAGATGGCATTGGAAATCATGCACAAGTATGTGTAACCTGCTCCATGGTGACAAAGGGGGAGATAGATGTGTGACTTAACACTGAAATGCGATTTGATGAGGGTGCTGCAGGGTCTTACACATTCCAATGAAAGTTAGCTATGTGCATACATGCTTACTGTAAGAAGCTGTGCATGTTGTGTGTTCCACACACTGGAGCTTGCTCAAGTTGGTCGCACAGTGTACCTAAGTCCCATAGTTTCAGAAAACAGATCTTGAACAGACATGTAACCTTGGAGCTGATTCTTTCTGAGGAATTACTGTTCAGAATTAAACATGAAAAAGATACACAAATGTAGCATCACTCAATACATATACACATATGAAAGATGTTTCTGTGTTTGTCTTGAACAGGAAATTTGAGACACCCTCCCCTTCCGAGTGTTAATTTGGCCCATCCCCTCCCCCCAGGATGGACAGTTGATCGGACAATGAGAGGACGCATCTATTTCATTGAGTAAGTATGAAATACAGACAGCTGATTAACAGGTTACGATGCGCTATTTTTAGGGAGAACACCAACATTGGACAAATATGTGCAAAATCACAATGACCCAGCAAAATTTGAGTTTTTGTGCTGTGGGTAGCACAGGTGTTTTGTATCCAAATTTTGCAGAAAGGAAAGGATTCTCTATTGGGAAGGGGATTGGAGTAAAAAAAAACCAAGAAAATTAGTTATCACATCTCCTATCCACTTCAAGCAGGAACAAGAGGGCGTGCGTACTCAGAGATGACAGTCCTTGGGTGGAAACTCACCTTGTCAGAACGTTGGGCGCGCTGAGTACACACAGCCGACAGTGTTCTAGCTGGGACCATTTTAGTGCTGGGTCAATGTTTGGATTTCAAAATGTAGCGAGCACAGCGAGCGGAGCTCTTGCAGCTCATAACTGGACAGGATTTATGCCTTCCATTGATACCGCTGTTCGGCTGGTCTTGAGCCAAGACTGCAAACTTGTGCATGCTACCTCGGGGAAGGCTATATTATATCCCATTATTTCACATCCGGGTCTCGTAGCAATTCTCAATGCTTGACATACAATGGAATTGGTACATTTTCAGTAATATTTCAGTTCATTTTTGGGAAAATCCGTGCTCGGCGGCACAGCCAATTTGAACCTGAGAGCTAGGCGGAAATTTGCAGTACCAAGTTGGTCTGCCTGGCGCCGCCCACCATTGCTATAACACTGGCAGCCAATGATGTTGGAATGGATGGTCTGCCAGGCGCGTGGATGGGCTCGGGTGAGAGTGTACTTTCAACTCAGTGCAGATAGAGCAATGTGCATTCATGTGCTGTATTGATTCCAGAATCAACTGATCATGCTGCACTCACAGCATCGTGGGCTGTCGGAATACCATTACTTCTTTTTAGCAGGTTGTCTAGAATGTACGTCCCAAAACCTCTTTTATTTCTTCCGCCAATTCCGGACAGCAAAAACAAACCAAAATGTGGTCTTTTTTTTTTTTTTCAGTCACAATACCCAGACAACTCACTGGAGCCATCCGATGGAGAAGGAAGGATTGCCGGCCGGCTGGGAAAAAGTGGAGTCACCGGAGCATGGTGTTTACTATATCAAGTAAGATAAAAGGGTCCACGCAGCATTGACTTATTCAGTACATGTATATTCATCAGTGCGACAACGGTTTTACACCCCCATTACATATGTCATTGACTACGTGCGTGAGCGGTAGATACAGCTCTCAGCTCTGTGCACTGGCAAAGAACACCGTACCACAAGCACATGGGGAAGGCACAGTCGCGGTTCTCCGTGCAGAAAAAATTTCAATCGTGGTTGGGAAAGTGAAAACTTCGCGTTGCATTTTTACACCAACTTGAGAAATTAAAACTTGAACTTGTACTCAAAGAAAATCTATTCAGGTGGGGTTTAAAAAACAATTAACGTTCCCATTCCCATTCTTGGAAGGGATGATTTGATTCACTTACTGATTTAGTATTTCATCCCACTCAGCTTTGCCTCGTGGACCAGACCATTCCATGTGTAAACCTCATGTAATTTTTTCCACTCATAAACACTCATTATTCGTATCTTTATGACCTGCCAGAAGGAGACAGACATACGTTGAATGTCTCCTACAGATGTTGTAGTGATACCCACCCATCAATTCACCTCCCCTCATCAGTAATGGTACATCTTGTCTACCTCTCTTTTCTCTGCAGTCACATTTCTAAGATGGCCCAGTACCACCATCCCTGTGCAAGAAACATACCCCGCTATGAGCCGCCCCCTCCTGCCCCCAAGCAGTTACCCATTACGCACCCCCACAGGGGTGGGGGTGGCCACCCCCATGCACCTGGTGCTGATGAGCACCCAGGGGGCCAACATGTGTGGGTGCCTGCGAACCCGTACCTCTATGCTCGTAAGTTGGACCTCTGTGATTTAATTAATTCTCTGTTAAGGAGGGATGCTACTTCGACAGGCTTCTTTGTTTGCTGTGCGGACTGGTTTTGCCTAAAGGACAGGTCACAAGGAACTGCAGAATAACAGTTACAAAGGATTTAAAGGCATGCTTTTTTTTGTTTGGATTACTTGCATTTAGCTCTAGATAAGATGATTAGGGACTAACTGGGCAACAAATTAGGATAACTTGAGCCATGAGTCATTGTCTGTCCTTATAGTCTTTCAATGCATGAAGTGCTATTGTCAAATTTGTTGAATATGCACAAAGCCCCTTGGAGACAGTGGCATTCAAGTAGCCCGGCTGACTCATCAGTTTTTAAAGTATTTTATTCACCAATAGGAGACTTTCTTCAGAGACTTTATAACCCACAACTTGACAGGAAATAGCCATGACTGTACATTTACATGAATATAGGTTGTGCACGGCAGCCATCTTTGAGGTCAGTGCTTTTGTTCTACAGGGATACACAGTAGTAGACCTTTCATGCATATCCCTCCATTACAAAAACGCCTGACCTGAAAGAAGCCTGCCATGCACAGCCTCAGTACCTTTGACATACAATGAAAGATTAAAAGATCCTTCTAACGTTTGCCTGGACAGAAATTCCCGACTGGCTGGAGGTGTACTACAAGGCCTCCCCCAAGCACGATCACAAGCTGAAATGGGAGCTGTTCCGGCTGCACGAACTGGACGCCTTCCAGGGCATGCTGTCCCGCCTCTGCAAGCGGGACCTTGAGGAGGTGGTGATGGACTATGAGGCGTACCGGTTCGCCCTGCTGCGGGAGATGGACCAGCGCCTGGTGCGCTCCAAGAAGATGCAACAGCAGGCCCTGCAGCAGCCCAGCCCGGAGACCAAAGTGTGAGACTTCAGCCCAGCAGTGGCGGCCAGCAGGTTGAGCGGTCGGCAGGGTGAAGGTTTTGAATTCTTACTCATTTGTACACTTGCTGGACATTATTTGTTTCGCAGGGCAAATTCAATCGACGACTGTAGTTAACTATAGTTTGACTAACAATGCCTGAACAATGGATGGTTTGGAATATTTGGCCCTAGGGCATGGTCGCATCGCTGGTTATCAATAGCTGATTTCATTTATCATTACAGAAGGAACTATTCTCATGAATATAACTGTACAAGATTTCAGTGACCATGTACGCTACGAGAATCATGGCCGACCGTGAAATGAGAGTAACAGGCCAAAATAAATAGGCTGAAAAGGGTCGTTCAAGTGTAACTGAATTGCACATATGCACATTGTCAAAAAGCATCTGACTATGGGTTTAACTATAGTTCGTACTCAAACTTGCCCTTAGTTGTGGGGACTGCACTGGTGTATCCAGGTCTGGGATCTGGGGCTGAATAGTAGTTGCAAAGTGCAAATTTACCACTAAAAAGGTTCCGCAATCTGCACTCCGTGTGACTGCACCCAAGATATTGGCAGATTGCTGGTGCTAGAGGTTAGTATCCTTGAAAGAAACCTCACCTCCATGGCAGTGCAGTTTCTTGGTTAGATTTTGTTCTCAAGACAGTGTTATCCCCCAGAAATTTTATTATTTTGGGAAGATTTTCACGTGTTTTTGCAAACAGTCATTAATTGTGGATGTTTAGTCAGTCATGGACCCTAGTTGCCCTGTATGATTTAACGTCCACGATTTGAATGTGTATACATACATGCACACACCCACACTTTTAACACCTCACAGGATTAGTGTGGACTCTCATTTGTTTATGTGTAGTTGAGGAAAAACTCCACTCTCCCACACTGAACGCTAACTCAAGCTAAATTCTTGATGATGAAGAGTTGATGGACATAATGAACCAAAGAGATTTGCATCTTGCAGATCTGGGTGGTGTAGTATGGACTTGCACACCTCCACAGAAATGTTTCCCACCTGCTGAGAAATGGTTTTGGTGGATGTTTGGGTTGAGGGTTATGAGTCACAAAATGGAGAGGAATATCCAAGGGCATCAAAGTCACAAATAGAGGCTGATAGATTGTTCACAGTGTGAAAGTGGTCGCAGATTTTTCATTGTGAAATCGAGGAAGTCTCCACCAAGTGGGAACAAATTTGACAAGAGATGTTGTGTTTCCTCACCTGTTGGGCATTTTTAGGCCCCACTTTTAGCACAAGTTTGTGCCAGGTTTCTGGAATCACGAGACCTTGCAGACTTGAGCTTTCAGACCTGCGAGCCGTATCTCCATCCATTTGAAATGTCTCTTGGGGAAAATCTTAAATATGGCTTGTGGAGAAGAGCCTAAATGTGCTTTCAAAAACAAATTGTGCAAGAGCTGTTTTTGGTGCAGGTGTACACAAAGCTTGTGTATGCTTCACTTTGGGACATGTTTGTGCAAAGTCAGTGTCAAATGAACCTCAAGAAAAATGAACTTGCATGGGAAGTAGTGAGATGTACATGTAATCGACCCTTGACCTGATCTGCTGTGATCATCCAAGCCATGTCATGGTTTGCCTGATAAGGGGAATGCCCTGTGCTTCTACATAACAATTTACTGTAGTAGTAACTATGAAGTTGAACCCTACCACAGTTGAATTATTAAATCATGAACATTGTAAGCTTTGATTTTTTTGGGGGTGGTGGAATTTTTGGAAGTGCACTATTTATGTACGATAAGATAAAAAACATAGTATTTAACAGAACAGGGTACACGCATGTTTAACAGTTTTGTTATAGTAACTAAGTTGTTTTCCCATGTGATAAAAAACCTCACAATTCTTAACTTTTTAAAACTGATGAGATACAGAATATCGTCAAGTTTTGGAAAGTGTTAGTGCAAAGGAATTTCAGCTAACACCGACACATCTTAATTGAAGAAACCCATGTAAACTGAATTTATAATTTAAAAGAAAATGGGATAGATCTATGTATATGAATTATGTTCCATTGGTAAAACCCTGTCTAAAGATCACTTTTTGACACAGGTAATATGATAGAGTATTCACAAAGTACCAAAAAAAAAACCACCTTGATGGGCCAATAGAGTACCGAAGTAAATACGTCACGCACACAATTAGTGTGTAAAAGGCCTGAGCGCGTGAACCATCGCGTGAACCAACACGCGTGCGTACTCCATTCGTTTGCACTGCACTTTCTGGTTCACAGTGACGTCACACTTCGGTACTCAATACTAAGACAGTTGTAATATACATGTATAACGTGCATGCATAAAAAGAGCCACAGCTTTGGATGTCGGAAAGAGAAGAGTCGCGCCAAATTTCTGTCTTATTTTACCCAGCATGTGTCATTTAAAGTCGTCTGAGTGTGCTTTACGGTGTTCACAAGATAACAACAATGCAGCAGTTTTTCGCAGAATGTGTTTTCATGCAAGGTGATATTCAGTTGGTTTTCATTGCCATATTTAGGCCTGACTCATTCACTACTTGTAAAAAGAGGATATATTTATTTATAGATCTACATGTAACAAAACTACAAATAAGACAAATTGTAAGTAGCAAAACTAGAATTAAAAATAGTAACGATTCACTGTGATTGTCATGAGATGAGCATATACATACATGTACATGTACAAACTCAAGTGGTACTTCACCTTGAACCGTGCCACATTGGAGGATGTGTAAACACAATTTGGCTGTCTGTAGACACTGGCACGGATGACTGCTTAAAACGTTAAGCTTGCTTCGACTGACCTCTGGATGTTGTCTCAAAACGTGCTAATCCCCCAGTTTATTCTGTACGCGCACACCAAGTCCAAGCAGTTTGTGGAGGGGAATTGTGTGCTGCTGTGCACAGGCTGTTGTGGCAGTAAATATCACTCTGTCAGCGCACCCGGGAGTGAAGAATTTCAGGTTGTGGTAAGAAACGTTGCGCCGATACAGTGTACTGTTGAAGTGACTCCTGCAAATCAGTATTCATGGCGTTTGGCTGCATATGAAAAGTTGGCAGCCATATCTTGCCTTTTTCAAAATTTAAAATTTTGGGGCCAAAAATAGTACCGTTGGCATGTGGTTAAATGCCACCAATAAAGGTGTGAAAGGTACCACATGGAAATCAATAATTGTGCTGTTATTGATGTTTTCATTTTCACATTTCAACTTGATGATGTCTTCCAGCTTACACGAATCAGTACAAGTGTACGAATACAGTGGAAAAGGAATCAAAGGTGTGAAAATTCAGCTTTTTTTCTGCACCTGCTGTGTACAAATATATGGGGGACTTCTTACATTTCAGCTTTTTACTAGCTGTTTTCAGCTTTAATTTTAAGTGGCCACTCACACCCTGATGAATGCATGTAAACCTGTATAAATGTAGTTGAATATGTACATACCACATTGTTTCTTAAGCTATTGTCATGTTGGAAACTTAACTTGGGCATATATAACTTGGGCCTGTAGTTAAGAATTACGTAAAAATGCACACTTAACATAGTTTCCCTTGAACTTTGGAGCTTTTTTTGGTGAAGGTGGCACATTAAGTCCAAGGTTTGTGGTAGCGCCATGCAAGGATATTCTTTTGCTTGAGTGGTGCTGAAAAGAACCGGCGGGTACCCTTATTAAAGTTGAGTATTTCGGGCAATATGCTTCGTCATCTGGAGACTGCAGAGGTTCCATTGATGAAGTGGCTTAAATGGTGCCCAGAGGCGGTAAGGTGTGGAGAGGATCTAACTCTGGATCCAACCAAGATGCTAGATGATCGGTGAGGTGTGTCAGTCTGAAAGAGGGGAGCATGGGGGAAGGTTGCCAAAGGTGTAAGAAACTAAATTGTACCCGCCAGTTCTTTTCAGAACAGAACCACACATACTCACAAAAGAGATATCCTCACATGGTGCAACCTCAAACCTTTTACTTCAGTTTCCCTTGCGGAATTTTTTATTGTGTATTTTTATTGATCCTTGATCAGCTACTCACTGTGATTGGACTGTGGTTATAAATCAATGTCATTCAAATTGTCGGTAAAGAGGATTGATTGTCACTGGATGGGACTAGATGATCTAAAGTGCCTTGAGCCTTGCCAAACTTTGAAACTGTTGCCTTATTCATGTAGCAGACTGTAACCTTTTAACAAATCTGAATCTGATGTTGATGATCTGAAGTTGTAACTTAAGTATTCTCTTCCGAGAAAGTCCATTGTCAAAATGTGATCACCTTGGTATGTTGGGTACATCTAGTGCTAAGCCTAAAGTCTTCACTCAGTGTCACAAGTGCAGATTCTACAAACTGTGAACATGAAAATATAATTATTTACAAGTCGTCAAAAATCTGGATCAGTTGCAAAATCCCCAAAGAATAAATTCTTGTACTAAATCACGAAAATCATGAAAACGTGTGGATTGAGGCAAAAGATGTTGCCAACCAATGGTGAAATTTCCTCAAAACTAGGCCGCCGATGCAAAATGGTGGTGTTTGTAAACAAAACAAATGTTTGTACTTGAAGCTGCCTGTGAATTCAAGCTTCAAGATTCTTGGTTGGTTTCTGTGTTTCTTTAAAAGAAGTCTCCCAAAAATTAACCAAGTGGGGTCTCTCTTTTTTACTGTAATATACTTCTACATGTATGTATTTTTCAGTTTCAACTCAGGGATCATTAGTTCTTTTAGTTTATATGCTTTGTTTTTACATGTAAGGGCTGATATTCAAATCAGTTGTGTAATTTGGAATGATTTTTATGAATGACCTGATTTTACAACCATCCAATCATTTGTATTCGTAATCTGTGTTACAGTAAATACAATAATCAGTGATGACAATCACTGTTCATCTCAATTGTAGCATAAGAATATCAAAATTGTAGCATAATTATATTGATATTTAAATACTTGTATTCTTTCAAAACTTGTCATTTTACTACAAGTACTACCCAAGGGCTGTTGTACTAATTTACATGAACACGGCTTCCCATTCTTATCCCTCATTCATGTCATTTGTCCCTTTTCTTTACAGTTATTCTTACTCTATCCTCATCAATTTACCAGCAATTTGTTTGTGTAATGCTCTTAATGACTGTCGCAATGTACTTGGCTCAATACTGAATGGTCAATTTATGTGATATTACATGTATACATATACAGAACACGTGCGCAGTTAGCCCCTTCAGAGGAGCAAGTTTGCTGCAAGCTCAATGTTGGCTTGTGGCAAGATGCAAGCTTGTGCAAGATTGCAGATTTGCATGCAATCTAGGGCAGATTTCTGCTGAAGGTGAAAAGGGGAGCGATGCTTGTTTCCTTTGCATAACTTCAACTGTAAAAGGTATAACATCCGGGGGCCCACTTCAATATTTTCTGTAATATCGCCCCACTGTAGCCTTCCAAAATTTGTCATCACGTCTGACGATCATTTTTATGAAAATCAGACGTACCGTTCAAGCAAAATGCCCAGTGGCTCCATGGCAGATTGCCCGCTGAATGTTAATTTTTTCCTTATCAACAATGTGGTCAACACATGAGAACCCATGGGACATATTGTTCTTCACGTGCTGGTTTAGTGCCAGCCTTATATGCACCAAGGAATAGGAAGCAATACAAACACTAGGAAATGGGCATGCACTTCTGCCTCTAGAATGAGGGGTGTGTGTTTTCATGTGAGAAGTCAAACGCTCAAAATGAATGTTTACAGCAATAGGTTGCCTGGGTAGTTTTACTTTGCAGCATTTGCGTACTATTGCAAAGATGCATTCTTGACGTTTTCTCATTCAAAATCTGTCAAACAGCCCTTATGTGTCTGTGTACTGTAGCAAATCAAGTGGAGGGAAATTTTGACTGTGACTGTCAGAGCAACATGCCGGTGTTTGGCTTTCTTATGTAATGACCAGCTACACCATGAACAAGCACTTTCCTGTGGTAATCGTTAGTGTTGCATTCTTTCAACATACATTGACTGGAAGTGACCTCATTTGATCATGCTGAACCAAACAAGGTTCTATGCAATTTGCATTACTGTAGGAGGGTAAGGCTTAATTCATGTATATTTGTATTTATGTATTTAAATAGAGTCTTCTGTGCTACGAATCAGTCAGGACAGGTGTTCAGATACTGAAATAGGATAAAATGTTGAATACTTCTGTAACTATTAATAAACAATGTACATGCTTGTGGAAAGATAAATTTTGTAAACCTTGAACATCATTCTGAGAATTTTAGGAAGTATTGTTAGGACTCCAGGCTCTTTGAGGGCACGTGGAATGGGCAACTGGTGATCTAAGCCATGGCTCACTTCACAGACCAGCCTCGTTAATTGGCCAGAAAGATTCCACTGATATTTCTACTGGTGTCGGTTTTGCTGTGCTGATGGGTTACTGCAGGATTAGTGGATGCCTTGTTAGCAGAATGTTGCCGGCTTATACGAGTACTGTGAGGTTGGGTTTTGGAGTCTTTTGAGTTATGAATGATCTGAACCAGGACATAATCTCCCAGTGGTTCATCTTAATACATTGTGTGTTAATATATAATGGGACGCTGTGTACAGGGATGTGTCTTTCGGGTGGGCCAAAGTTCACCTGCTTTGGTTTGTTCCCCCCAAAGACCTTGTTTGTGGAGATGGGTTCTTGCAACATGTTGAGCAGAATGTCTGGGCTCAATTCTTGTGACCCTTTGTCTGGCATCAATACAAGTGAGTGCAGCAGCCTCTATCAAGGCCTTAATAACAGGCTACCGTAAGGGTTCAGTGTTGTGCAAATACTGACTGCCTTGAGGGGTGTAGTGAAGCTTGTCAGGGATGCTGGTTTGAATGTGATTCGAGCTTCAGTAATTGGCATTGATATTCATAAACTACCTCATCACCCAAAGAGATACTTTACTGATTGAACCAAGTGGAGAGCACACAGACGCTTGTGGTAAACTTGAATGAATCGTGTCATTGGCACCCTTTCAAATTAAATTTGCTGCCAATGTAGAGATTTTTACCCAATTTTGTTATGTGTCAGTAGAGGACACAGTGTCTCGGTACATACATGCATTTGGACAGGAATGTCATGCAGTATGATATTTTGTTATATGTCTCATATATTTTAAGAATGAGGCTGCTCGATTCTTTTGGAATAAATCGGAGAATACCGTGTGATTGCTTCAATAGCAGTTCCTCAATCCTACACAAATACGAGTTGCCCATGAACAATTTGCAGCACATCAACAAAAATGACGCCTTCAGGCTTTGCCTAAAAGGACACAAAAGAAAGAAAACTTTCACATTTGTGAAAAGACCCAATTTAACAACCCACAGAGCTTAGACTCAGACTTACTTGAAGCTCACTTCTGAGTTTACGAGGATGTCTGTGACTCAATAAAAAAATATACATCAACGCAGGAAATAAAGGATCCAAAGAGACTGCTTATGCATGGCCCGATGTTTACTGCACATGATCACGTGTGTTTCTGTCCTTGAAAGGTCACAAATAATTCTGACTCATATGAATTACAATGACACAGAACTCGGTGATAATCAATAATTCAAATCGGATCTTCCGTGCATCACATGATAAATCTCCCACCAATTTGTGTAAAACAAGCAATACATGTAATAAATAGCACAGCCGTACTGAATAAAACTTGCGTAATGTGCAGTAAAATGAAAGCATTGGTACACCACACAACAGATATGAAATGCCCATGCTTGTATGTGTATGTGATTCAAAATACACATACAGTGTTGTAGGGCAGGTTTAATATAATATTCACAGGGGCAGTGTGCCCTGAAAAGTTTCCATTGCCAGGCACTGGCTTGCCATCCTGCTAATACGTATTGTGCATAGCCAATTTTACATTTACATGTATGTGGCAAAAAGTTGACTGCATGACTTCATGGATTCTTGCTCACTTAAAATATGTTGAAACATACATTGTACATGTATGTAATACCAATTTGCTGCAAACTGCTTGCTGACTACAGTGACCTCAAAATATGGAGTGCCCGATGTTTCGATCCTAGCAGAATCTTTCTCAAAGGCAAAAACGTTTTGGACAAACATGATCTTTTCATGACCTGGGTTCAATTCCGAGCTTGGTTCACATGTGGATAGGTTTTCCGGTCCCTACCTGATTCCAAGGGTTTTACCCAAGACATTACTCTGGGTTTTTCCTCCCATCTCTATAACTGAGACTGCTCCTTATTGTCTCATAGCTACAGGTTTCTTCGGGCTTGCGAGCTACAGTGCCTAGGGCGCTTTTGAGGAGTCCCTGGTGTCATCACCAGAAATAATCAATGATAATGATAACATCAATAACGATGAGGCAGTGGTGTTCTTGTGCAACTTGCATTAATGACTCCAAGCTTCTTGTGCAAAACAAATAACTGCAGATGTGGTTACCAAGTCAGTGGCCGCTGTGTGCCCATCAAGATTTGGTCAGCTGCAGATTCTGCTCTAGCAATAGTCCTCTTGCAAGATGGAGATCCCAAGTGCTCAATAACCTTTGCAAGATCACCCCAAATGGTACACATATCAATATTCATGTCCCCATGACAGTCTGCCGATAGACAAGGCTACTTGTGAACTCTGGTAGGGATTCATCATCCATGAGGGTCTTCATCTCATCTCTTCTGGGAGTTGGAGCCCATGCTGGTGTTATTTCTGCTCCCTTTGGACCCGGTGGCACTGAACGAGCTCTTGCTTTTCCTGCGCGTCCGGGATCCCAGACTCATACTCCTGGCCATCTTCTCTACTGAGATCAGGTCCATTGTAAACAACTGCAATTGATAATGGAAACAAAAAAAATCAAGGTTAAATATTGTGATTCAGAGGCACAGCCATGGGTCCATAACAAGTGGAATCACAGATTGATTAGAAGTCTGTCCAAAGTCCAGTCACAGATGGATCATATGTCAGTCACATGTTAAAACCACAGACTGATCACCAATCACCAAAGTTGAACCAATGGTCGATCACAAGTCAATTCAAAGATGAGCCATGAGTGAAATTGTGAGTCTGGTCATTGAGTGCACCACGGGGATAAACAATGCACATGTGGAACAGATTGTCATTGTTTTGGGCCAGAAGATGAAATTCCCTTTTGGTCTATATTTGTCCCTTCGTGATAATGATGGCTCATGCAATACACAAATAATAAAGTTTAGGAGTGAATTAAGAAAAATTTTATGATGGGTCAGATTATGTTCAATTCCTTTAGGAGAAGTCAAGCGGAATGAAACATTCAATCTGTCACCAAATGAATTTATTCAATTCAAAGAATGTGAAATATTATTTGTTTAGAACAATGCTGGAATAATCTCTTTGTATACAAGTTGCTGTTTTCCTTTCTCAGGCAAGCACAAAATTGTAACTTAGCTTCCCCAGCTAAGTTTGTGGGCGTCCTTAAATTGCTCTTGCTACTTGACGGCATATATTTCATTTGTGCCATTATATGAGAAGCATCAGTGTCACTTATAAGTTTAAAATTTCTGCAATTCGTGTAAAAAAACACTAAAGTGCCAACTCCAAAATGAAGTATTCCACAATTCTGCAATGACACTTGCACCATTTTTGTGGTGCTAGCCCCAACATGAATAGGTCAGACTGCATGATCTCCAATTCACTCATCAGGTGACGAGGCTTTGTTCAGGCATTTTGTGCAAAGCAGATGCAGTCCATTCACTGAATCTTCACGATACCTACTTACCATGATAAGCTGAAGCTTCTCAATGTAGGTCATGGAGTCCAGGGCTGGGTCGTGTTTCTTGTGGCATTTGTCGGCTATATCATTGACAGCCATCTGGATTCTCCCCAGGATCTCACTCTGAAATATCAACACCAAGTGGCTCAATATTAACTCGGGTGATTGTTTTAGAAATACTCTCCATTTGGACAGAAACCCACAATGAAGTACATCCGTGTGCACAGCTGAAAGCAAGATGATAGTTCAGGCATTCAGATCTTTAAGAAGATGGCTTTAGGTTCCAACAGACAGGGATATAATGAGGTCTTGATGCTGGGCTATCAATCTGCTTACATGATCTCGGTAGCTGTTGAGCTCACTGAAGATCTCCTCCTCTAGCTGAGCGTTAGCCTCCATCACCTCCTCCTGCTTGCTCTGCAGCTCAGCTAGCTGGCGGTTTATCAACTACACAAAGGGAAATTTAAAATAGCGTTGAAGAGGGTGTCACATGTCAACAAGGATTCAGGAAGGCATCAGGGAATCAGCTTGGTGTCAGGTTGTCAGGTCGGCCTTGGGAGTCAGGTTGGTATAGAGGCTCTTCCCTCTCCCTTCCTTTCCACAGCCTGGGTTCCAATACTGTGGTCGAGATCATCACAAGACTAGTCACAAGACTATCAACAAGACCAGTCTTAGTAACAGGATGAACAAAGACAAAGGAATGCTCTTATTGCAGTTCATTTGAACAGCTTATGACTTGAGCTAAACACTGAAGGTCTTGTGATGGTCTTGTGATGGTCTTAAGAGGTCTCATAAGTCTCCTGGGTTCGATTCCAGGCCTAATCTAAATATGGATTGGGCATTCAGTCCCCACCTGTAGGCAAACAGTTCATGTCCGCCCGGATAACTGGCAGTGTGGCACTGAAAACCCCTGAGTGTTTACATGCCATCCAGCATGAAGTGGCTTAGCTCACTCTCCCTTACCAATTTTTTCTGGTCATGACTGTACTTGAGTTCCTCCATCCGCTGGTTGTCTGTGTCAATTTGATCGGACATGTTCTGCACTCGCGCTATCAGTGCCTGATTGGTGGTGCTCAAGGTGCGATGTCTGTCCATCAGACTCCGCAGCATGGAATCGTTTACTTCCAAGTAGTCTGATTAGTGACCAAAAGCAAAAATACCAAAATAAATCACAGGTTCTGAAACAATGGAATAGAATTCATTATTTTCTTAATGGGCATTTGTTTTGTATTTCATGACATGTTGTGCTGTGCATGGCATGCCATATACAATCTTTTGCTTTTTAGGTTTTGACACCTCGTCAGGACTTGATTTTCTCATTAGTATTCTTGCATCTTTTTTATGATGTACTCAACCACGAGGAGGAAATGAATGTTACTTGCTTACTAGTCCCTTTAAGACGTTTAAAATGCACAAGCATGATGATGGATCAAGCTACAACTGTTGGTATTCAAATGCAACATCTCTGGTCCTTTAAATGTTTTTGTCAGCTGCCTCTTTGCTCGAGCTGGAAATAGATAGTTTTACTACTAATTGTGACATCATCGGGTTTGAGTCAATGTAAACTCAAGTCAACTCACACAAGTGTGTAAACGCCGTCAATCAGGGACTCCCTATTGTTCCTCTTTTGTTCATACTTTAACTTTTTCGGAAGACCTCCCATATGTTTTGTACATGTTTTCCAACCGTGGACTCTTCGGCAACCATGGACCCTATTGTTATAGGTCCACGATTGAAGGCGTTTACACACTCACTTCCACTCTGAAGTGGTGATATCATGTTGTGTTACTGACCTTTTCTTTGATTACTATTAAAGTGGGAATGTATAGGAAGTACTATTGTCTTTTGTGTTAACTTTTCATTTTTGAAAAAAATCCTGTTTTTTTGTACAAATGATAATGAGCTTGGTGACAGAATGGTATATTTCCACTTTTTTGCATGGAACTGCCTTTAGGAATCTTTCCACACAAGAGGTCAAGTCACAAAAACCCACACCTTGTTTGCATCACAATTGTAACAATAAATTTCGTTTACAAATACAAAAATCAACTAAAGTTCTCTTGAGCACGTTTTGAGATGTAATGTCCAAGATTTTTTCTAAAGATTTGGTACCGATAACTACAGCTTTATAAATGTCCAGCTTGTTTGAAGTGACCCTGATTTTAAGTCGTGTTAAGATACTATGGTTTACCACAAGGACCTGACTTGGTAGCTGGATCGAATCTTCTCTAGATACAGGCCTTACTGGTCCCTCTGACCGTAGCTCATAATACTTGTAGAATACCTTCACAAAATGACCTTGAATCTTACTTTCGGGTATATCATCCAGAACCCTCATCAAGTAGTCTTCATACTTCTTGTGCTTCTGCAGTTTTGTACACAGCTCCTTATGTCTGGGAAAAGAGAAACAGCAAGCTGTTTATCAGGATCAATACATCCGTACATTCAAGTTTCTGCTTGTCTACCACCTTACACCAGAAGAAACATTAACTCGGAGACCTGTAACACTTAATTATGAAAGTTACACTGATGTAGTTGAAAAAATGCAGGAACAACATTAGTCCACATGTGTGTAGATAACATTCTCAAGAGCAGGAGTAAAGCGGACCTCCATAAAATAATCACTCCATTATTTCCCCCTGATTTTTACATGCATCAATCAGTTGAAGTATAAGCCTCAGCTACAGGAAGGCAAAGGATTGCATTTCTTATTGCCTTTATTTTAACGCAGGCATGTTCAGTGTGTGCATGTCACATGCATGCGGAAGTGTGACAAGTGTCTAGTGTTCAAACTCATGCTACCTAATGATGGCTGGAAGAAAAGTACGTCCTAATTGCACCCAGCAGTAAACAGCCAATATCCCAATGACATACATCTAAAGGTCAGCGGGGACAAGTGAAAAGTCCTGCAGGTGATTTCACAAATGTTGCGTAACTTTGCAAAATGCCTTGACGCAGTGAGCAATGATAAGCCAAATAAGTGATATGATTAGTTAGTAAACTGTCCATTACTGATTTGTTCCATGAAGCTTTGCCCCAGCTCAAATGACTGCATTCACTGCACAACTTGTTGACTTAATGTACACTGTACGTAACATTCCTGAAGGGTACCATAGTCACACTGCATGCAATAGAATGCACAGTAAGAGAAGTTGATTACGACATTGCATTAAGTTTTATGAAATTGGCTGCTGGAAATATATGGGAGTCTACCAAACTTACACAAGTTTCAGTTCTTCCAACTGTTGCAGTAACAGTTCATACTCAGACTGCTTCTGGTCCTTCAGCTTCAACTCTGTCTGGTATTTGTGGATCGCTCGCCGTCTCTTTGCCTCTGTTTCCTGAATGAACTTGTCAAACTTGCTGACTCTGTCTTTCATCTGAATAGCATTAAGAAATAACGATGGAGAGATTTGGATCTGTGTTTTCTGAGCTTATTCAGTCCAAGTAAGGATTATTCAAATCTTAATTTATGTGAATTCTGCAATACGCTCTTATCATTACTGCGATGACAAAAAGTAGTCTCTAGGGCCCTAGTGTGATGTGTGATTAAGCATATATAACCCCTCCCGTAGCCCTCTCATTCCTAATTGCTTTAATTTGATGCTCATTTTGTATTTAATGTTTTCCTGTTTGTATTTTGTTCCTCCTCTGATATTGTCGTTTGTTTCTGGTAACGGCAAGCCTGACCCAAGCTTTTCTTTCAAGGTTTTGCCACCTCTAGTGGCCTATAAATCTCATACACTGTTAGTACCTGTATTTTGCCATGAGGAGGAAATAAATGTAATTGAACTGAAAATTGAAATATTGAACTAAAGACAGGAAACGCACATTCAGGTACAACTAACATTTGTGCCTCTTAAAATATCAGATTTTCCAAAAAAGATCCAGTGGCATAGCTAGGATTTTACTGGGGGGGCAACAAAAGGGAATAGTGGAATAAACAAACTACAATTTATCAAGGGATTCATGAATTGTACATGTACTCTGTCACTATGGTAATGCATGCCAAATATGCCGTGTCTTTGCAACAATCATGACAATATGTCTTGTGGAAACTGTTTTCACGGGCTATAAAAATGAAAGTGGGAAGACTGGTGAATGTGAAGTTGGCTTTGAACAAATTTAGACACCTCTGCCCTGACAAAAGGGAGAAAACAAAATTCAAAATATGAATATGGCAGTACCATAAGTAGTTGGCAGCTTCAACAACCTCTTCATTTGAGGTAACAGGATTTGTTTACCACACCATCATTTTCAAAACTGACAACTCGCATTTCCTACCCTCTGCTGCTTCTTCTGCAATTCAATTCTCTTCTTCTCGCATTCCTCCATGCGCTGCTGGAAGTTCTCCCGCTTGGCCTGCAGTTCAAGCGTCACCTTGTCAACCTCTACCTCCCTCTTCAGAAGGAGGGTCTTCTGCATTGTGTTCAGGCCGGTCTCTATCAGCTTGCCTGCCGACTGGTCAGCACCAAATATGAGAAATCGTTCTGAGCTGTAACCTTTCATCAGGAGTTTTAAACCCAGTTGAAACACTGCTCATCACATGTACATGTAACTGAATTTCATTTCCTAGAGTATAAAATAGATTTTCCTCATGATCGTTTCCCTAGTCACTTCTTCACATGCACCACCTGCGTAAGTTTTACAAGTACAACTCGATATTCCAAGTTCGCTTTAAAAATTCATAAACCAAACAGCAATGGTACACATGTACTCTATGATCTTTCTTTTACAAACCAATATGGGACCCATGCACTCTTGCCAGCATTCTTTGACCTTTAATGTCTCAGATTCCTCAAAATCCATCACTGATTTTTTTTTTATTTTGCAGGATTACTCTGTCAGGGAAGGGGTTGGCAGGGAATGAAACTTGTCCTTCCTGGGCCTTTTTGACAAAATGAAAGTGAGACCAAAACACATTACTGGCTTATGTCCGGGGGGGGGAGAATTTCCTCACAGATGAAAAAATTTACACAGTTGTTTTAGCACTTTGGTTATCTTCTTTCCTCAACCGCAAGACCCATGACTTGAATATACAAAGAATAGAGCAATATGGAAACAGCTGTTTCTGCCAATGTCCATCTTGCCCCCCCCCCAACAATCCTGACCAGAATGGGATGAGGAAGTGACGAGCGAGCAGAGCTGGGGGATGTACTGCTTGGCAAGTGGCTGCTATCACCTGCGTGTATAAGCTCAATGGCCACTGAAAGATGCAGTTCAAAGACTATGCCATTCACTTCCTCCACACGATGGTGGACATATAGGAATTGACCAATTGCCACTTGTAAGTTAGCCACATCTTGTGGGTCATGAGTACACCATATGATTGAACAATAATTTACATACTGCACTGATATGACTCTACCATGATAGGCTGCTTCAGGCAGCTAGGTTGAAATCAGCAATGGGTCTCACCTCTTTGACAATGGGATATTTATTGACATCTTCTTCCTCACGGTCATCCTCTCTGTTGAATTGGATTCCAAATAAAATCAGGGAGTAATTGGAATTGATTTAAAGTCACTTTTAGCTATGAACGTGCAAACACAAACCGGGTTATCCTTGCTGCGTCGAGGTAAGTGTTGTGTACAGTACAGAAATCATTTTTGAGAATGAAGCATTCACTTGAATTACATACAACTAACTACGGGAAGACTAAAATTTTTCTTAGTCCAATGTGGGTCTCGGGGAGCAGCTACGCGGATACAGGGATACGAAGTGGGCCTTGTGCGTCCTACAACGCAAAGTGAATGGGGAAGGTGGAAGAATTTTCTATGTCTGATATGAGTCCTGGGGAGCGGCTATGTGGATACAGGGATACAAAGTAGGTTTTCTGTGTCCTGTAATGTAAAGTAAATGGGGAAGGTGGAAGAATTTTCTAGGTCTAATATGGGTCTCGGAGGGCGGCTATGCGGATACATGTACAGGGATACGAAGTGAGCTTTTGTGTGTCATCCTGCAATGCCAAGTGAATGGGGAAGGCGGAAGAATTTCCTAAGTCCAAAGTGAGTCCCGGGGAGCGGCTACGCGGATACGAAGTGGGCCTTGTGGATGGAGGGTTACTCTGTATCCGCGGCTACGGTAGTACGAGGTAGGCAAGGTGAACTGAGTGGCAGGGTTTTCTGCGATTGTGCCTATTAATGTACAAGACTATTTCGAGCAAAAGACTGCCCATATTTCCTGCTTAAAACCATTTTCGTTCATAATGTTGTGAGCATAAATTAAAACAAATTTGTATCTCACCCCCTTTCTCCTAACTGGGTAACGAAAATACTCCTCTTCTGCGGTTCCAACTCCAGCCTATAGGAGCGAGATGCCTCTGTAGCGTTGGCCATGTTGTCTTTATCTCTTTGGAACAAAATTTTACAAACAGAATGTTAAGAAGGCTTAGTAATAAACAATTTCTGAATTCTAAAGCACGAAATCACAACTGCGACTCACAGACAGTCGAGTGTGTGTATCCAACGACAACATGTATACACTTCGTTAAGTCACGTGACGCAATCTCAGCGAGCTAGACTGGTGCTGTGGTTTTGGTGTATTGTATTAGCGTGTTCAAATGGCTGGAATTCATACAGGCGTACTAATTGATTGACACCTGTTCTCATCTTGTCGTCTGCCAGGCTTAAGCCACCTGCTTTATTCGAATTTCCCATACCCCAGAGTTACGATCAGTTGCCAGCTAAAATGTTCCATGATACCTATATTTGCTCAATATAGATTGCAGGGCTGTGACAATATAAATAATGTTTTACGCCGGAGAAGCAAGGATGAGCAGACGAAGGTGGAACAAATAGTTCATTTACGTAATTACGGGTGCCAGCCCAGGGGTACAGATGTTGCAGGCCCACATTAGTAGGCCCAAGTTTCCTGCGCAAATCATAATCTGCATCATGGGTGTAACTCCCTGAGGGATAGGGTACATAATATCTCCCTCCCCCCACTGTTTGGTTGGCAGATGGGCTATTCCCACTTTCCGTGGTAAATTCAGGCAGATTTTTCGGACTGCAACAATCAAAATGTAGTAGGGCCTATGAATCCCTGGAGCAATATAAAGCTCCATGATGATTAAATAGCACTCAAAAGGGAGAATGTTTTAAAGCCATAGATACGCCATTTTGATGTATGCTTCTGCTGGAGTGTTGTAAATTTGTAGTCTAATACATATATGTTCATGATAAAGATGTAGATCTGCATAGTGAATATCCCCCAGTGTCAAATGATGTCAGCACCCCGCCCCCCTAGGCTCCCGCAAGTCACACCCCACACCAGGGTAGGACTAAAGGTTGGTCAAAATGCCCACTTTTTTAGGGTGCTATTAGAGCATTAAATGTGGACTGAATGATTTTTCAACTTTGTCTTCGGCAAAATTCCGGGCCCAAAATATCCGAAAACTGGCGATGAGCTTCATGCATGACTGTATTACAAAATGTTATCCTTGGATACCAATATTAAATGTCATCGGTCAGTTCACAAAAAGTGAAAAGAAAGAATGAGGAAACGAGTGTTAATTTTTTGTGCGTACTTGTATCTGTCCTTAAGTTTTTGACAGGGTATTTTCACTACCGGCTTTGCAAGCCTGCATTTATTTCCTGGTATGCAACTGCAATCATACAGTCTACAGTGAGAGCGCCCTCATTTTGGTGAGATTTTTCCTTTCCAAAAATGTCCAACACTACTCGTAGCTAGTCTTCAGTTTATCACAGTTTTTCACCATGTACAATGGTATAGTGTGATGTGAAACAACACTGATTGATAAATTCTTTGGTGGAACAATAAACTTTAAGATCAGAAGGAATATCACGCAAATTCAGAGGTGCATATTTGAGATTTTTTTTGCAAAGTACTCAGCGCAGGAAAAGGTCTCCACGCTCCCCTGCATCGCCAGTGAGCTTCTTTAGCTCAAGAGAGAAAAAATATTTCCGAATGCAACAAGAGGGAGGCAACAATACCGAACACGGTCAAAAGGTTCCTCAATATATGGGTGACTATCACTGCATAGGGTCTGCTCACTTCTGCCTACTAGTGACTGGTAAAACTATGGCTGGCTGCCAATACAAAAGTAAAGATTAGTTCAGTAAGTATCACTTAATATTAAAAACACCAAATAATAAACACCACTACTAAAGACTGAATGAAAATATAATCTCCTTTAAAAGTCATATGGAGAGTCTACTTTTGAGGTATTCGATATTGAGGTAAAGTAATCGTTCTTGTGTGTTCTGATAAAGCATGTGATAAATTAGGTTGATAAAGACAAATGCCTAATTTACTGTTGGTTTAGTAATTACATGTAAATGTCCTCCCAAGAAAGACTTGCCAAATATTATTATTCTGAACCAGTGGGATATCCAGGTTCTAGCTTCAGGTGGCAGAATGAGATTTCTTTCACTAATTGAACCAACATTTATTTCTTACATTTTGTGTAATAACATTACCAAATATTTGTAACTTTTAAAAAAATTCTTATATCTTACATTTCAAAAGTTAGGACCTTATGTCTAAGATAATTTACTCTTCATTGTGTTGACGGAAATATTTTCATCTTATGTACATTATCCACGCTGAGGACGTATACCCGCCTGATACGATAACGTATAAAACATCTTGCTACTCCATTCGAACTAAACAATATAAGATTTCTTGTTCACTTTTAAAAACAAATTATAAATCAGAATATAATGTAATAGCTATTTATTTGTAGCGGCAACTTGAATTCATAAGCATGCACAAAGCCAAGGATTAACCACATACATAAAAACCATAGTTAACGTTTTTGGTTTGTTCAATTGAATTCAATTAGGGGTCTACCGTTTATGCAAACCTTTTGTATCACTTTTTGGGGGAATAAAATTTACAAACAAAAGCTTTATTTTCATATGCATTTTTTTATCGAAAAATGGTACCACTCAAAAATAGTAACAACACTCTCGAGGCTTCCATCTTCACAATTCCATACTCTTTGCATAGCCAAGAGAAGGCTGTATTCCCCCAAGACCTTTTCGCTATTTTATGACAAATCTTCAAAAGTACTTATTTGTAAAAATACATCGTGTAGCCCTCAACATTACTCAGCGTCAGTTGGAAAGTTTCGCATTTTGGTTTATTTGAAAAGAAAGGACATTGACAATCAATTTTTTTTAAATAAATGAAACACAGAAAGGTTTGCATGCAAACTGAATCGGGATTAAAATGAATGTTGCAATTTCAGATAAGGATGTCTTACAGCTATATCCCTCTAAACAAATTTTACATTAAAACAAGTAAAAAAATGGGGCATCGATTTTTCGATAGAAAGCAGTTAATAATTGCATCGTTTTATAATTCCGGGATTCTCTACACCAAAATGTACAGCAGGGGAGGCGTGTCAACCGGTCGCCCTTTTAACAATGGAGACGGTAATCTGTGGAATTACTGCGGACTACCCGGGAAGTGGGCCTGCCAGGGCTGCTCCTACAGTCAGCTCAGCCTGCCAATGGACTCTTCTTGTTCTCACCAGAATGTTCTTCTCGATATAGTGTCTATTAACCATTGCACGTCTAGGGGTCCATAAAGTGTTTTATTACATCCCTTGAAAGTGCTCCTCTCAGATAGTTTACATTCATTGAGGGGGAGTAGAAACTTTGCCTAGGACCATTGACAGGTGCAAGAAAATGTGATGTGTTTTTTGTTAGTAGAATTTGTCTCCAAGATTCGGGAATCGCGCGCACCCAAAACGTTCTGAGAAGAACTTAAACATGGTTGAAAAGAATAGAGCATTCTCAGCCAAGATATTGCTTATTCCAGAAACAAAAACTTGAGATGATTTCGCAATAAATCCTTTTTTTAATTTTGCCCACAAAAGTAAAAACCATTCCTTTAATTGCTATTTGTATCATGATGAAGTTTCATATGACAGGCCAATTTACAGTTTTACAAAAAGAGATGAAAATTAGTATTTTAAAACAAAAGTTTGTGACAATTCTCTTCTAGCACTTTTGAATTTCGAATGCACCCGTCAAAGGTGGGATTTTTGGTGCATCGTATAGGTTATTTCAAATTGATTTATTTAATGTAATCTGTTTACTTTTTGACTTCCCCTTATTTTAAGTGATTCTGTAATGCGCCTGGGATCATTTGTATGAAATTTGCGCTTTATAAAGTGTAATATTGTTATAATATTGTCAAGTATTTTCATTTAGACTTTATACAGTAGTGACGGTCGACTTTTCATAAGCCCACACGGCATAGGCTCTTTTCACTTTGGTGCAAAGGGACACGCTGAGACCTTTAGAGCTTGTGGAATAACATGGTAACCCTCTTTGGTGCGGGATGCGGGGCTAAATGTATCCGGTCAATTCTTTGGCGGAGTCGACGGAAGGGGGCGGTTTTTTTCTAAAGCTGGGAAGCACTCAATTGTAGCACGTTGGGGGTGAATGATCAACAGTGGAAATTGATGGAGACTGTTGGTTTTCAGTACTATCGTTTTCTTTTGAGTTTTTTCTTTTCCAATTTTTCAAAGCCCATGGGATATACTAGCTTCTCGTCGGACACAATTAGAATATTCGTCTGAAGGAAAGCAGCATTGACATTAACTCATTTGTCACAGTAATATGCTACTGTTGTATATGAATCACGCAAGCTCCATCCTTCAATCTCAAAATGTCCCTCGTGCACTCATTTTGATTCACCATCTACAACTTGGGTTTGAGTCTGAAATGATTGGCATGTTTTCATAATCATCATTTCCCCGAAAGCATATACCGGGAGTAAGATTTGCTGAGTACAGCTCCGTTCTTGATAGTTCGGTGTCATTTGCAGTCCTTATCAAAGTCCAAGATTACATTGTTAAATTGTTCCAGGCGCAACCGGTGGGAAGCAAAGTGACTTCATGGGAGCCAAATAGAACTTGCCCAAGTGAGGTAACACCGCGTAGCTAACTGTTGATTTTCACACCCCAGACCATGATAAATCTCAACAACGCATTGCACTTTGTATGGCTATTTGGATCTTTCATAATTCTAACATCAGGTCAACAATCACTGGGCCAACCCTGACCTAGGAATGGACGTGTGTGCTATGGTCAAACAAGTCAGACAGTGGGGACGAGGTTGAACTCGAGTAACTCGTGAAGGTTTACCCCCAAAACATCTTTTGGCATCCAGCAGTATAGCATAAATTATGATCTAAGTGGAAATTGATTGTTTTTTTAACGACAAAAATTGAATTTCCTTGAAAATAAACGTGGTCGTCCCTTTCAATTCCTTAAAACTGCAGCTGGACACGCCACTGGAACAAGTAAAGCAAAGCTCAGTCAACCATGACCACGCCTAATAAGAATAATGTTGCGTCATGTCCGTGCAGAGTAACGCTATTATCGTACAATAAAGTTTCCCCAGACACTTCAATCATAATCGCATGCAATGGCCGAGTGGTTAAGTTGGCTGACTAGACTTAAAGAGCATGGTGGTTCGAATCCCTTTGA